CGCGGGCGCGCGCAGTGAGGACGCGCGGGCGGCCTCCGCGATGTCACAGGTGGGTCGTGCAGAGCCGCGAAGGGCTGCGGGGCCTTAGGACGCGCCTGGCTGGTGTATGTACTTGACTGCTGTCGGCCTTGTTAACTGGAAGCTCCACTTCGCGCGTAGCCACGGTGTGCGGGCACTGTGCGCAGCACCTCCGTCCCGGTCCCTGGGCCGGAAGTTTGCACAGAGCTCACGGTGGAGCGGGGGCTCCAGCGCCGGGACAGCTCGGCCGCTCTGCCCGCCTCCCTGGTACAGCGCGGCTCTCCTCGGGAGAGCTTTGCTCAGGCCTCCAGCGGCTTTGGTCTTGCTGCGGCTCTGCCCGGGCACCTGCGCTCACTGAGTCTCACCCCAAAATTAGAGAGAGGTTACTTCCCGGGGTCATTCCGCAGGAAGCATGGCAGGCCGGATTCCAGCCAGCACGCTTAATAGAAGCTCAGAGCTTCGGGGCAGCAAGGGACCCCAGAGGCTATCGCTGGGGCCATTGAAGTGGCAGTAACTGAGCACCTACGAATGTGGGTGGGGACCCTGGGCCCTGCCTTCCCCTTTTGCAGAGGATGGAGTGCAGGCTTGGGGGGACTGGCCCCTATGCACACCTGCAGCCTGCTTCTAGCCTGGAGGGGCCAGATGCTCAAGAGACCGTCCCCCTTGTCCTTCGGTCAGGTCTGTTTGGGGAACCCAAGGAGGCACTGCCTCCTAGGGACAGCCTCTGCGCTTCCCTGTGTCACCTTGGACATCTGTCCGTAGGAACAGCCTCTGCGCTTCACTACATGACCTTGGATGTCTTTCCAGTTCTTTTGTGTTTTTCCAGCAGTCCAGTGATCTTTGCCCAAAGGCCATGGTGCCCCAGGTGCTGCTCAGGATGCCAGGAGGCAGCGGACAGGTGGGACTGTTGTCTCTGCTCTGTGGGAACGCTTACTGTCATGGGACGGACAGATTGCAAGCCAGACACAAAGATGGGCCCTGATGGCCTCCTTGGCCCCCAATCCAGACGAATCTGAGGTGTGAGCTTTGGGATTGCTTCCTGTCCAGAAAGTACCAGAGGTTTGATAGGACCAAAACCAGAGACTTTTTCCTACAAGGGACACGAAGGGGCAATGTTTAGTCTTCCCAGCCTGGGGCCTGTTTGGACCTGCACGCCAAGTGTCAGGAAACCCTGATGTTGATTTAATGCCTCAATTTTTTCTTTAATAAACTTTTTTTTTCTCCTGGAAGCAGTGATACTCGTTCATTAGAGAAAGTCTGGGCAATAGATCTACTGAAGAAGCTCACCACCCAGAGACAGGGGCTGTCGATATTCTCGTACATTCCTTCACAGTTCGTAAACTAGTGCCGATAAACGGCTTGGACAATGTGTCTTTGGAACTGGTCTGTGTTTCCAGAAGAAAGATTGTCAGGCCAAAGATTGGGATGCATTTTGCCAAATTGCTCTCCTGAAACGCTGCACTCATGGGCTCTCCACCCACGAGGTGAGTGACAAATGCCCGCTTCCCACTCTCTTGCCAACCCTGCACCGTGCTGTTTCGTTTTGTCTTTGCCAGTCCGATAGGTAAGACGGGCCTTTACATCACTTTTTTAATTTGTTCGAATGCAGGTGCCACTGAACGTCTTTGCACTTTGTGATTGGCCGTTTGGAAAATCGCCTGTATGTGTTCTCTACTCATTTTTAATTTTTCTTTGGGTTGTATGTCTTTTCTTATGGATTTTAAGAGCTTTTTAGACTAAGGATTTTAGTCCGTTTGTACCATATGCTCAGGTACACTGCATTTATTTTTCCCAGTGTGTCATTTTTCTTTGACTTTGGATCTATATTTGTTGTTTGCTTTGTTAGCTGTGAACAAGTTTTAAATTTCCATGTAGTCACATCTATCAACTTTTCTTTTATGGTTTCTGGCTTTGGAGTAGGGCTAGAAAAGCCTTCCTACTCCAAGATTTCATAAGCGGTCACCAATCTAATGCCTCAACTTCAAAATGAGAGGACAGTGTAAGACATGTAAAGGCCTGATCCAAGGCTTTCTGTGGAAATCAGAGTGTGTATCAGGTAATAAACAGCTTCTCGAAGGGGAGAGCGGTTTCTTCAGTCCTTTTGGATGCCTCCAACCTTCATATAGATATATTTTTTTCTTTAACTTTTAGGGGCTCTTGTCCAGTGCGCCTTGTGAGATCTGCGTCTGAGGATCCAGAAGAGGCATCTGCTTTTGCCCAAGCTTCCCTGTCCTAGGAAGTGTTGGGTTTGGCATTGGAGATTCCCATTTTCCCTCTAACCAGGCCCCTAGCTGAATCAGGCCACAAGGCTGCCTTCCCATTGTTCTGGTGGACTCACCTGCCACCAGGGAGGTGACACTCAGGGAGGAGCTTCCCCTTCCCCACCCCCGGCATCTCTCCGCTCTGCCCAGGGCTGAGAGCTCTCTGCTCTAGGGGGACGCTGGGTGGTGGTAGGGGCAGGGACAGGAGTGATCCCCTGGGCATCGGACACTGGGGCTCTGGGCAGGCCCTGGGCCCTGTGTGGGTCACTGCTCCCTCTGGGCCTCTGTTTGCCCTTGTGCAAAGAGAATAGAGGGCCCATTAGGACCTCTCGCAGACATGCTCCGTGTGGAGGAGGGCGACTTTCAGCGAGCCAGCCAAGGTGGGGGCCAGAGTCAGTCTTCATGAGGGAGCCAGGGCCCCATTATCCACCTCTGTCTTCCCGTGAAGAGTTAGCAGCCAAACACCGAACCCACTGCCGTCAGGTCGACTGGGACTCATGGCAGCCCCATGTGTCACAGATAGAACTGAGCTCCATAGGGTTTTCCTGGCTGTAATCTTTGAATATACTGTGGGCGGCCAGAGGGACGAACAAGTCTGTCTTGGAAGAAGTACAGCCAGAGCGCTTCTTGGAAGCAAGGATAGTGAGACTTCATCTTGCATACTTTGGACATGTTATCAGGAGGGATCTCTTCCTGGAGAAGGGCATCAGGCTTGGTACAGCAGAGGGTCAGCGAAAAACAGGAAGACCCTCAACGAGATGGATTGACACAGTGGCTGCAACAGTGGGCTCAAACATAACAGTGATTGTGAGGATAGTACAGGACTGGGCAGTGTTTCGTTCTATTGTACCTACACCTACTCCCTTGTTAGGTGCCAACTTGATGGCACCACCACCACCAACAATCTTTATGGAAGCAGAGGCACCACTGGTTGGGTTTGAACCACCAACCTTTAGGTTAGCAGTCAAGTACAAATGGTTTGTGCCACCCAGGGGCCTGTGAAGAGTCAGTGTCTCTTATAATTAAAGAGGATTGCTGATGGCATATGGTTAAGCACTTTGTTGCTAATTGAAAGGTCAGCAGTTCAAACCCACCAGCCGCTCCACGGGAGAAAGATGTGGCAGTCTACTTCAGTAAAGATTTACAACGTTGGACACCCTATGGGGCAGTTCTACTCTGCCCTGTAGGGTTGCTATGAATTGGAATTGACGGCAACGCGTTTGGTGTTTTGATAATTAGAGAAACTCAAATGAAAGAAGACAGCCATTCCCCCCACGTATGAAAAGTTTGATAGTCCTTGGGGAAGACATAGGGGATGCAGGCACTCCGTCGCCCCTGGGGACCGTTGACTGGTGCACCGTTTGGGTGCCGTGTTAAAGGTACAATGCACACGTTTGAGCCGGCAATCCCACTTGGAGGAATCTATCCGAACATTATGCAGGTGTGTGTAACAGACATGGAGCCAAGAAGACCGTTCTTTGCTTATCGGAGCGGTAAACCTAAATAGCTATTAATAGGGGTAAGTGAAGCAAATTATGGTGCATCCAGGCACCGCTAAGCCTGTGTTGGCAAGAAAGAGGTAGGTCCTCACGCCCCGCTGTGGAGAGAGGTCCAGGGAGTATAATAAAGGAACAAGGAGTGGGACGGCTCAGAGCTTCGCTATAGGTGTGCCTTTAAACGTGGGTGGGGTGGTGGCAGGATGACCAAGTGCCTGGCAGACAGACGTGTCCTCGCACAGTTTTTTCTGCCCAGATGTGGAACCGCTGGCAGTGTGGACCCCTCCAGCAGGGGGTCTTGGGTGGGGGTGGGCAGAGGGTAGGGGGACGTTTTCTTATTCACATTGTCTTCTTTTAAACTGTTTCAATTTTTAAAATCATGAGAATTGCTTTCATATATGCATAAGTTAATACAATATTTAAATAGAAATCATGAATATGCATGTATGCAAATGAGACACGCCTACACCCACAAGCCCTGTAGGTGAGAGACCCTCCAGGGAGATGGGGGACTAGCACCTATTCATCCCAGGTAGTGAGAAGCCGGGCAAGGCCAGCAGACGGGGCAACAGCCCATTCTAACCAGGGCCTAAGGAACGTCTCTACTGACTTGAGTCAGTCTTCGGAAATTCTATTTCTATAAAACAATCTTTAAAATCTTTTACTCAGAAATGACTTTTTATGCGTCATTCAGTTTTATTTCTCAAGTGTCAGCTTCACAGAGTTTTCCTAGGAGATATTTTACTCAATTTATCACTGACAATTTTAGGGGACAACTGGATTTTAAGATTATTTATAAGACAACATTTTAAGCAAACACACACAAAAAAAGCCTCTTGAGACAAAATTATTTAGGAAAGCGTAGTGTGCATGGTAAAATGAAATCAAGGTCACATCACCTCAGATTTCTTCCAGAAAAAGCAGGATATTTTTCAATTTGGGATTTGATAGAAAAATGATTTTCTCTCCCTGAATTCTTTGTAGAAAAAGTAAATGGGGTGGAGACGCTTCATTCTTCTCAGGCAGTCGTGTGATAATTTATCTCATCATCTCACAGGAGGACCAGGTGGACCCTGGGTGTGAGGTGACTCAATACATCAGAGGGGGCTGGGTTGTGCCGGGATGGCTGACTCTTCAATGGCAGGAAAAATGTACAAAGAAAAGGGAAAACCAACAAAGGCCCACAGATACCAGACACATTAGCACCAGACCTCCTCTGGGACAGGAACCCTCCCCAGGTCAGGTTCTGGATATACTTTATGAGAAGAAGCGTGTTCAGGGAGCGCTCCTGAGGTGAGGTTCTGGACACACTCTGTGAGAAGTGTGTTCAGGGAGCCCGCCCTCAGGTCAGGTTCTGGACACACTGTGAGGAGAAGTATGTGCAGGGAGCCCGCCCTCAGGTCAGGTTCTGGACACACTGAGGAGAAGTGTGTGCAGGGAACCCACCCTCAGACAGGTTCTGGACACACTG